ACGGCACATAACAACAACAACAACAAACATTACTAAGGATTCTATATGGTCTGGTACAGGAGGACATCTATGGGGGGGGGTGACACCATGAGTTACAGCAGTGGGTGAAACTAACTCTAGTAACCTGTATCCAGTCCACACCCCTATTCCTGCCACGCCCGGCACCACGCGCGCAAGCGCGCTCCTGACCCCGCCCCCGCCCCCGCCCTGCGGAACCCAGTGCTTCTGAGGCCTCTACAGCCCTGTGACGGCCTCGGTGCAGAGGAGCTGTCAAGTCCTGCTACCTCCAGCGCTACCATCGCAGCCTGGCGGGTTCTACCAGTTCCGGGCGCCGAGGGACGCACGCTCTGGGCGGGGAGGTCCAGGCCGAAGGGGGCGGCTCCAGGGCCGGACTCCCGTGCCCCGCAGGGCCCGGGACTTTCGGACGCGTCCAGCTATGGAGGTGGAGGAGGCGTTCCAGGCGGTGGGGGAGATGGGCATCTATCAGATGTACTTGTGCTTCCTGCTGGCGGTGCTGCTGCAGGTGAGTCCTCCACCTCTCCTCTTCCCCACCCACGGCTTCTTCTTTCTCAGAACACCAGGCCTGGATGCTGAGGCTCTGCAAACACTAAAGTGTCTCAAGCCTTCCCTGTGCCTACTCCGCACGGGGAGGGCGAGGCGCCTGGCTCTGATCTGGGCCGGAGGAGTGGCAAGGTCGTCATTGGACTGGCCAGGCTTTCTGCTGGCCGAGCCCACCCATTCTCTCCCTTTAGTCCGGTTATGCTGGGCCAGGCGCTCCCTCTTCTCTGCCCTGGCTGGAGAAAGCAGTGTATCAAAAAAGGTACTTCAGCCAATGAGCTAGTGTTTATTAGGGATACAGAATTATCTTGCTACCTGTAATATACTGCAAACACGAAAGAGAATTGTTATCCTAACTGTCACTTTGGAATCTAGGACACAGAGGTAGTGCTGGTATCCCGCAGACAAAAGGTGAATCTAGGGCGGCCTCCCTCAGGTCTGGGTAGCCATTTAAACCTTCTTTTCCTGGGTTTAAATGAGAACATTTCCTAATCCAGCAGCTTTCAATGCATGTGTTTTATTTCTCTTTGGTTAAAGTTTGGCTGGGTCACTCTACCCTCAGGCCAGCCTTAGGTTGAGACTTTTGTAAGCCCAATAATGTCATCTATAATGTGTATTTGTAAAATGAATGCATTTAAACGAATCCTTCCTTGTACAGAATTCTCTGAACCTACTTGCCCACCCCAATCTAAAAATGTAGGTCAAATTCCATACATTGAAGGTAACTACAGACTCCTTTTGCTCTCACCACTTCTCCAAGCTAAATGGCCCATCCACTTGACCTCAGTTACTACCCTCAGTATTCTAAAGGCATTTCATTCACACATCCTTTTTTAGTACCTACTATGGGAGCTCTGGTAGCATAGTGCCTAAGGCACTCGATTGCTAACCAGAAGGCTGGCGGTTCAAACGCACCAGCCACTCCTCGGAAGGAAGAT